CCTCTCCTCCTCTTCCTCCTCCTCATCCTCCTCCCCCTCCTCCTCCTCCTCCTCCTCCTCCTCCTCCTCCTCCTCCTCCTCCTCCTCCTCCTCCTCCCCCCCGAATCCCCGAATTGGAGCTACCATCGATCTGGCTGTTCCTGCGCAGCGAGTCGGTCTCGAAGTCGCGTCGGCTCAGCAGGCACGAGCGTTAGCTGTTTTTCAGAACTCAGTGTGCTTCCCTACGAGCAGAGGCTAGCCCGTCGTGCCAAGGGCTCTGCTTTTTGGCTTCTGGGCGGGTGCACCTGTCGTCAGCGCGTGGAGAAGTCGCCCCTGTCTGCGACTGAGCAAAAGCGCCTATGATGGTGCCCAGGTTTTGATCAGCGGGCGTATAGCCCCTCCACCTCGGACATGTCCCCAGGTACCGTCCTATCCTGTCCTATCCTGCCCTATCATATCCTATCCTATCATGTCCCTCCTGTGCTGCTGCTGCTCCTCATCCACCTCCTCTGCCGCTGCTTCTCCTCCTCCTCCTCCTCCTCCTCCTCCTCCTCCTCCTCCTCCTCCTCCTCCTCCTCCTCCTCCTCATGATCCTCCTGAGCGCCTCTCCCTGGGACACGCTCTTGGACTCCGACATCTGCTGCCACGCGCGCAGGAGCATGTCGGTGACCTCCGGGGCGTCCGACAGGTAGAGGACGCCGGGGGCGTCCGTCTGGCACCCGGGGCACCCGTCGATCTCGCCCACGCTCCCAGCTTCTGCAGTGCAGCTCTGCGCCGACGCGGTGCTCTTGCCGAAGAGGATGCGCTTGTTGGACGCCGCGAGCTGGGAGGCCAGCGAGCGCTTGAACGTGGCCCGGGGCGACGCGTACCTCGCTCCCCGCTCCGCTCCAGGGTAAGCCAGACCTGGGACAGAAAGACGTCCCTCGAGAGCACGAGGCCCTCTGCCGGCCAAAACGCACGGAAAATCAAAGGGTATCCTCCCCAGGATGCACGAGGACACCCAACAAACAAACACGACGAACGTCAGTGTACCCTCCCCGAACCGACCTCGATCTTCTACCTCGGTCCGACCGTATAAATCTATATATATATATAACACAAAACGATGTGTATGTATATATATAATATCGGCGGCGAGGGAGGGGGGGAAATAACAACACACTGCATCCAAGGATACCATCCCCAGGATTCACAAACAAAATCGACGAACCACGAATAACATTAGGGCACTCTCTCCGAACCGACCTCGATCTTATACCTCGGTCCAACTGTACGTCTTGGGGCGAGGCGAGGGGGACGCCACGGAAGAGTATAGTTTGCTAAGGGATCTGTTAGGCCGCCACTGAGGAAGGCGGTACACGATCTTGTCGCTCAGGCCCGCCGCGGCCACCGTCGTGAGGATGGCATGCTTGAAGACGCTGAGGCGCACGTCCTGGGCGGGCACCACGACGAAGCACTTGTGGCCGGCCACGCCAGCGGTGTTGGCCAGGGCCTTGCAGACGCCAGCAGAGGTGCCGACGACGACGCTCTTGGCGTCTCCTCCGGCCTCCTGCAAGCTGGTGAGCATCTTCACTGCCAGCTCGACCTCGTCATGGTCGATCACCGTGAGGACGATGGCGTTGCTCTCGTTGCGGTTCGTGATGTCGGCAATCATCTGGTGCAGCCTGCTTACCTCGGACGACCCAACGGCGACTCAAGCACAACCTTTCGGTGGCCCGCACTGGTTCTCGCGCTGTAAATTATGTTCGCCCTCTTCGGCGTCGGGGGAGGGGCCATCTCTGGGCCCACAGAGGGATAAGAGACAGCCCACAGACTTGGCTGGACTGGGGCGGTATTGCCACAAGAGGGCACCGCGTTGCACATCAGCGCAAGGGCATAAATGCGTGAGGGGATGCGGGCACAGGCAAGGGACCGTCCTCTGGCCCCCCTTTTACAGGCTAACCTCCAATAGCGCCGCACACGCGTGCCTTAGGAGGGAAACCATAAAAGCGGGTAACAACCCACCCAACCCAGACACAACGGAGCGGCTGCCCAGCGGAGGAGGAACAGGAGGAGCAGGAGGAGGAGGAGGAGGAGGAGGAGGAGGAGGCGTAGAAGCAGGCGCTGGACCCCCCTCCCCTCTCCACGCTCTCCCTGGCGCGCTGCACGGCCCCACGGGAGCGGCGCCGGAGGCGCCGCCCCGGATGTGTGTGGGGAGGGAGGTCCGGCGCCGAGCCAGGAACTCCGACGCGAAGTTTCTCCAGAAGAGCGCGCTGGGTGTAATCTGCTGGGGCCCTCGCAAGAGGACCCCGAGGTCGTCCAAGAGCCTCCCAAGAGGGCCCCGGGGCGGCCCTGAAGCTCTACAAGAGGGCACCAAAACGGATCAGAGAAGCCCCCGAGACGGCATCCGAAGGCGTCAGACGGGCCAAGAGCCCCCCCGAATACGGCCCAAGAGACGCCCAAGAGAACCCCACGAGGCTCCCGCCTGCTGCGGCCACAACAGGTCGAAGAAGTTGGGGTCCATGGTCTCGCAGCTGAACGCACTGAAGAGGCTCGCCATCGGCGCCTCGCCCGCGCTCTCGGCGAAACACTGCTCGAGCCGCTGCTGCTCGCTGTTCACGTTGAAGGTGGACTCCTGAAAGCAAGGGAGTCCGCTCGCCGTGTACAGCGCCTGGGCCGTGTACCTGCGAGGGCCGCCGAGGGCGGGTTGCCCGGAGGTCCGCCTGATCGACGCAAAGACCCAGGGGGGTCTTACGCGAGATGGCACAGCAACCTTACGCGCTGGCTCACGCGGGCCGCATGCGCGCAAGGTCGCTACGTTGGAAGCGAGGGCGCTCACGCGCGACCTTGCATGGGCAACCGGCCATGAGCGAGGGGGGGAGCGAGAAGGAGCATGCCTTCTCAGAAGGCGGCGGGACTTCTCAGAAGCCCTCGCGCCTTCTGCGAGGTCTTCTATGTCGTCGGGGAAGGTTTAGAACATCTCTCAGAAGGCTGGGGGACCTCCGACCCTTCTGGGGAGGCCTGCTCCTTCCCTTCTCACTGGTCACTTCCCCCCCCCTCGCTCGCCGTCGAGGCAGCCCGCGCGAGAACGCCCGTGCCGTCGACCCCTCGGACTCCCGTCGCTCACCCGGGGCACCCGGAGGCCTCCCGAGAAAGACCCCGGGGGCCCCAGAGGGAGCCGAGAGAGCGTCCGGGGGGCCTCGGCCCTCCAGCCTCCCCCGCTCCCCGGGCTCCTGCTGCGAGGAGGCCCCCGCGGGGGGGAGGGCCCCCAATCTGCTTCGCTTCGGGTCGAGCACGCACCTTGCGAAGCCGCGCGTCGCCTCCTCCTCCCCCTCCCCCTCCCCCTCCCCTCCTCCCCCCTCCTCTCCCCCTCCTCCCTCCTCCTCCTCCTCCTCCTCCTCCTCCTCCTCCTCCTTCCTCCTCCTCCTCTCCTCCTCCTCCTCCTCCTCCTCCTCCTCCTCCTCCTCCTCCTCCTCCTATCGGGGCACATCGGCTCGGGCACGATGCTGAGCCCCCCGTGCGAGGCCATGCGGAACCAGACCTCCTCGGCGGTGCGCGTGCCATGCAGGTACTCGTCGCCCCGTTGCCAGGCCTCGAAGGCACCCAGCATGAGGTCGGCTGCCTCAAAGGGGCCCAAGGACACACAAATAGGTACACACTGATCCCAGGATCCCCCATATCTTGTCATACGTTCTGGCGTTTCGCGCTCCCACCCCCCACTTCCCATCTTCTCCCATCTTTTCCTGGGAGTCAACGATTATTTATGTCTGTGTGTGTTTTCCCCTCCTCAGGCCTCGCGGCCCATGATCGCGGCGTTGTCGTTGATGCCAGTCTCGTCGAGGCAGGGCATGGTGGACAGGTGCAGGGGGTCCGCCTCGGAGAGCCAAAAGTGAGAAAAGGGCGCAACGCACAGACTTCTGGGGAGCCGATCTCTCGACACCGATACGCTTCTTCTGGCCCCACACTGGCAGTCGCACAGGAGAGCGGCTCCTGATGTATGTGGGATCCTGGTGTAGACGTGTTTCGCTGTTCCCCTGGAAAGAAATGGGGGGAACAAACGTCTACACCACACCACACCACGGCGTCGCCCCCGATCCTCCGAACATCCGGGGAGTCAGAAGCTTCCCGCCACTGGCAATGCACAAGTTCCGACTCAAAGAGACGATGGCACAAACACACGACCTGGGCACGT